GAGATAAACTTGGGGTGGAACCATGGAGAAAACGGCTTCCCTTGAAATTTAAGGTAGCACTGTGGTTATTGTAATATTACTAATTTTACCTCAACCTTGTCTGATAGACGCATCACTTGGGATAAGAAAGGCAAGATTGCCCTCTGCTGCCTGGGATTAAAATAACCGTTAATTTTTCATGACTGCGTAGCCATAGATCAGGCTTTCCCGGAGTAAATAAATGCCCTATACCACTAGCCAGAGGAGAGTCCCCTTTGATAAAAGGAGTTCTGGCATCATTGGATATTCACAATGCACTTAGAGATAGTGAAAACACCAAGAAGTCATACCTTGAAGAAACTGGTTTACCTAAGTCTTTCCCAGGTTGAATATCTTTAAGCCTACAGAAAGCACATGACAATATTTTCAAAGTGAACACATAAATGTCCCTTAAACAGGCCATTGTGAATATAGATCTAATTATCTGTCCCTCCTAGGCATGGCACCATCCTCAGTCAGTGCACCCTCAATTCCACTGAGGCCCCGCCTCCTACTCCCCACTACTCCCCCCTGCCAAGTCCTGCCACTTCCTTCTTGATATGTCTATCAATTCCTTCCTCTCATTTTCCAGTCTCTGATTTCATTCAGGCTTTTATTCTTGATCTGCCTTCTATGGACTCTACAGATGGTTCGTGCTTCCATCGTCTCAATGCTTCCTCCTTCATAATAAGCATCACAATTCTAAGTATTTGATTTCTTCCTCTCTCGCTAGGCTGTAAACTCCACCAGGGCAGGGGTTTTGTCTGCCTTTCGCACTACCTAATATAGCACCAGTTCCACACCTGAATCCTAAGGGTTATTTTTGTTTTTGGTTTTTATTTCCTCTGAACACATAATTCCTTCAGAGGGAATTGTTAGATGCAACATAGAGGATCTTTGGTCTTTGGTAAGAACCATTTCAGGACGCAGAATACAGTGGAATAGAAAAGATGGTGCTTGCAGGTCGAGAGCTAGAAGGCAATGAAGGGAGAAGATGATGACACGGGATAACTGTTGGGGCAAGTACTGTACTGGAGCAGATGAGACTAACACTATCTTTCTTACACTACATATAAACCTCAACTCCTCATAACAATTCCACAAAAGAGGCATTATCTACATTTTATGGATAAGAAAAGAGGCTCAAAGAGATTAAACAAATTTGTCTAACTGGTGACAGAGTTAGGATATTAACCCAACTATCTGCTTCCAAAGCTCATGTCTTTGTCTTCATGCCACTCTCTGCCATAGGACCAGGAGCTCTGGTAGAATGGCCTTAAAAGGTACAGTGGAAGAAAGGGGACTAAATATAAAGGCGTTGTTTGAAAGTCTGCATAAAGAGCAGTTAGACCCCTGTCTGAATCCCTACCCTGTGCAGTCAGGTGATGGCTTGCTCTGCCCTGCCCCTCCCAGAAGACTTTGGGGTTCACTCTCTGGAGAACTTACAGAGACTGCTACCTTCTGGGACACCAGTTAGAGGAGGATAAGATGGGGTGTTCTGGACACAGGGAGAGTAAAAGTAGAAGTCTGCATATTGAATGATAAGACCTCCCTTCCCCAGCCCCCTTTCCTAATGCAAACTCCAAAAGCCACACGCTTACCTCACAGGGAGGTGGAAAGAAACTGCTTTAAAGATACTTCTCTAAAGAAACTTAATGACCCCTATAGGATGCTATGATAAAAACAAGGAAGAAACCTTGAAAACTAAAAATGTGACAGTTGAAAATTTTTTTAAATCAATAGAATGGGAAAAAGTTAAGGAGAACTCTTCGAAAGTAGATCATGTAAATAATAGAAGTTCCCCTAAGAACAGAACGAGAAAATGATTTCTCCACTAGATCTTAATTCAATAAAGTTCTCAAGTCTATCACTGACCTCAGTAAGCATGCACATATGCACACACACATATTTCTGGTTTTTTAGTGCTTCACTCTTAAAACAATGATCTCTGGCAGTTAGGCATACTTACAATGTGACAGACAGAAACCAAAACATAAACAAGTAAACTTAAAGAAAATAGAGCTCCTGCAGTGTGTTCAACCTAACGTCAATGTAATTTAAAGGAATACCTGAGATAAAAGAAATTGAATCCAAGGAACAAGAGTAGGGTGCTTTAATATGAGGAATAATATAAGAACAAGAAAGGACTCTTAAAAACCAAAAAAAAGATAAAAATGACAGCTAAAATTTAAAAAGAAAAAAATACACACAATAGAATGATTGTGAAGAGAAAGTTAGGAAATTTCTCAAGTAGAACACCTAAATAATAGAAGGCCCATTAGGAACAGAAGGTAGGGGAGGAAACCATCAAATATCACAAAAAGCATTTCTCAGAATAGAAGGATGTGAATCTTCAGAATGAAAAGGCTGCTCAACATGATGGAAGGCAAAAGATCTATACTCTCATCATAAAATTTCAGAATAAGGCTAAAGAAAAAAGATCTAAACCTTTCAGAGGAAAAAGTGACAGGTTATATACAAAGAACTGGGAATAGGAATGGATTCCAAAAGGCAGTTGAATAGAAGCAGTCTTCCAAAATCTGAGAAAAAAAATTTACTTTCAACCAAGAATTCTATACATCCCATGCATCCATCTCTGAAAAGCAAGTGGAAAATCCTGTCCACCAACATGAATCAAGAAAATGGAAGGTATGGAGCCCAGGAGAGGGCCACACATGGAGAGGTAAAGGCTGACAGAGGCGATGGTTGCCGTGAGCCCAGATTGCAGCAGATGGAGGATTCTAGAAGGGATTCGTCTCAGAAGACAAATGGAGCTACAGGATTGTCTTTCAGATTTGACTTATGGATGATAATTATGTGAGGGGATGGAGGTGTTAACTAACTTTATTGTGGTAATCATTTTGCAATATTTGTGTATCAAATCATCACATTGTACATCTTAAATTTATGTATGTTATATCACTATCTCAGTAAAGCTGGAAAAAAGATTTGACTTTTGGAAGAACTGTAATGAAATGTATAAAACAGAGCTATTCAAGTCAGATATTCAAAGAAAACGTGTTAAAAGGAAGATACTTTTTAAGTCCAATAAAAAAAGGTTGTACTGTAAGAAATGTAATCATAGAATATTATTTGACTTAGAGCCTATTTATGGACATAGTAACAAAGACACCTAGTATGGATCTAACAAAAAGTTGAGGTGCGATATTAGAAAGATGGAGAAAGGAAATGAAGGGGTATGAACTAAAATCCTCATCTTCTGAAACAGAAAGTTAATAGAGGGGGCGTTCTAAAGTGATGAATCAAGAGAGTAACTCTTGATTACTCTCTTAGAAACAGGAACAGAGGCACACACCAGCATGGGTGAAAGTGGTTGCCTGGGAGACTAGGAATCAGGTGAAGGTCACAAGGATGAATCTAGTTTCCTTGAGAAGGCAAATCAAGGCAGGAAATGAGAGCCTTTGCCCCACTGAGCTCCTAGCATCTGCTGGGAGCTTGTTAGAGGCAGCATCTCAGGACCCAGCCCCAAACCACAGAAAGAGCGTCTGCACTTTGACACCATTTCCTGCTAATTTGTATGCCCTGGTCTAGCAGTCCCGGTGCAGTGCAGGTGTCTATCACTGTAGTGAAGGTAAGGGAATGAAGCAAGGGATTCACTGGGCACAGGAAGTCATTGGGGGTTCAAGTGTGACCTCAGGCCACCATTCTAGATCCTTCACCCTTTTCACTTGCCTGTACTGCCTTAACCTGACTACTCAGTACTCCTGACTTAATCTGTCTTTACAGATTTTGGGTTTGGTACCTATTTTATGCATTTGGGCACCTACTTTGTTTTGGAACCTATTTTTTACTTCACAAAATCTTGTCTTTACAGAATTTATCACATGGTGGTTGCAACTTTCTTGTCATTGTTCTCAAAATTGTTCCAGTATATTTGATCACCAAGATAACTCTCATTAGACTAGATGCCCAATAAAGGCTTAGTAGCTGGGTTCTTTCAATTCTTCTTACACGTCCGAACAGAACAAATAAGTCAGTAAGTAAATGGAACAGTCTCTGCTCTCCAGGAAAGAGAAGGAAAAGAAAACAAAATAAAGTACAGAGAAAAGAGCTTTGATGGGATAAGCCCACAAATTGTAAGAACCCTTACTTAGTGGGTGCTCCCCTAATGCTTCCACTGGAAGCAAGGACTAAGCTAAGAAGGTGTCTATTACAAAAAAGACTCTTTGAATTTTAAAGAAATAAAAATTAAATATATTGTTTTAAAATGATTCAGAAATTTTGGTATCAAGATTTGAGAATGCAAAGTTCTAGTTTAAATACAGTTTCCCTCAAGATACATATAAAAATTAATTGCAAACCTATCAAAGGCTAAATCTTAAGACAGTCATAAGCAAGGCTTAATTATGAAATTAAAACTAAAAACTCCTATGATTAAAGATCGTATCTCCTTTATTAAAGTGAGGATTAATCTAGGCAAGCAGGCTTTTTCAGTGACCCTTGCTGTTGGGGTTATTAGAAAACTGCTAAGATGTTGTCTTTTAAACAGGATTAAATTAAAGAGAAATTCACACATATCTACAAAAGGGATTCCTTATTTTGTGGTGTTCTCTCAATCACCATTCACTGGCAGAAAAATTAAAAAATTATCCCTTATGCGAGAATAGGGAATTGGTATAACAAGGGACTCAATGGCCCAAAAGTCTGCCATAAACATGTATTTCTTTGAAGACTCATCCTTTATCTTAAAAATTTATGCAAATCTACTCTACATTAGATCCATGATTTTAATTGTTTAAAGGTTTATATCCAAAAAGAAGTTAAGTAAAAGTGACCCTCCTAAAAGATGTTATCCTGTGACTGAGAAATAGGCACCCAGCTCACATCCCAGTTTGAGAACAGCAAACACTGCAGATTTGCTCCCCTCCACCCATCTTACCTCATATTTGTTATAAAACATTAAATATAAACATTGAATCACGCAGTTTGTTCTGCACACTATGTATGTGGTCAGAGACGTCTTTTGAATCTTATATGAATTAAAGTTTTTATTTTTATACCATAATCCAATCCTCGTCTTTTATCTGAAATCAAGTTTGAAAAACTTTATTTTCAACTGCATTAAATTCATGAAAATGTTCTCCCTCATCACACTGAAGCATTCCTCATGGTTTATTTCCGGTGCTCAATGTTTAATGCATAAAGCCACTTTAACGAGTCTCTTTTAATTACCTTCTTTACATACACATTGTCTAAAACCTTTCTAGGTCAAAAAAGGCTCATCTACAATCACCTATGCAGACTCTGCCCAACTATTCCCAGGTGAGTGTAAATTAGTTTTCCAGAGGACGAACTTAATGATATGGCAACACGGCGCATCCTTCTGCACTGAGCCATTCGGGGCCAAGTGCTCCGTTAAAATTCTTCTTCTGCCTGCTTGCTGCGGGACCGCTTGAGCTGCTGCAGCCTCTCGATGGTTTCAGAAACAGTGCGCTCTCCATGTACCTTATTATCTCTTGTACGGATATTGACAGTGCCGCTGGTTTTCTCTTTTTCACCAACAACTAAAACAAAAGACAGTGAGAATCCTTAGATGGAGGATTCTCACTGGGCATTCAAAAAGAAATGATCCCAGGACCCAAAAGCCACCTTGTAGCTTCTTCTGATTAAAATGTACAAGTGACCATGTATAGTTGGGCAACCGATTTAAAAACCCCAGTTCGCAATGCCTAGAGCTGCTGTGCTTACTGAGTCACTTCATCCAGCCAACTGAATAAAAACTTACCATATGGAGAAATAAAAGGTGAAGGGAGAAAATTTTTAGACAGACCTTTAAAGATTTTTTTTTTCACACCAAAATTTTCCTTTCTTATAGCAACTGAATAAACTTAATAAAGAATTGGGATTTGGAAGGAACCAAACTGACGACCACAATTCTTGTAAGCCTAAGTCTCAGGATTTCAGAATTTTCCTGGTTTGGCAGATTTTCTTCGGTACGTTTCCTTTCTTACCTAGGATGAAATTATACTGTGCTAACTGTGCATTTCTGATCTTCTTGTTCAGTGTACAGCCTGGATCCACATCAGTGTCCACCATGAATTTAGCCTCATGGAATTGTTGCCGGACCTATTCAAAGAGAGATACCGAATTCTTCATATCCAAAATTAGAATTACATTTTCATCTTAAATGATTTTATTTCATCTGCAATTTAAATAACCATGCAAGCATTAAAAAAGATATGTTAACATATCTATTAAAACATATTAATGTGTGACCTAGACCTACATTAAAAAAACAAATCAAAACAACATATTTTGCTCTTGAAAGGTAAATGTTTTAGAAAATCCTTAAAAATCAGAATTCAAGCAATCAGCTTAATGTAATCAGCTGTCCTAAAACATGCGTGACAAAAAGAAAGAAAACCTTTTGCGAACATATCTTAAGTTCCTGATATGGTTGCCAGGAAATGAAGTGTTAATCAGTCTCCATTTAACATCCAATGATGGATGTCCAGTCTAATAAAGAATATAATATTTCTGATCCCTCAAATAGGCAGCAAGTTGGTAAAGGAATGCACTCACTACTGACACTTATATGCAATTTTGTTTTTAAGATAAAATGTTGATAGCACAAACTATAGGCTAAAAGCATCACAACAGCTCCATTTATGTTCCAAGAAAATGGAATATTATCTGCAATATCAAATTGCCTTTTAACACTAGTTATTGTAGTTCTTCAATAATTCTGTGTACACAGTAACCTAATTAAATAGAACTGTACAAGAATAATTTAAGTAAAATAATCAGGTTTGAGAGACAGTAAAAAGTAATTTTTTTCTTTCTCAACAGTGATTTCCTTTTAGATGAAAACAAAGCCTATCATGTCCCGTCTCAGCCACTTCCAGCATCTTACTGTTTGTTCTGCTTGCTCACTGGCAGTCATTGCTCAGTGCAATGGGCACTGAGCTAATCACTGGAAACATGAGGGGAACAGACTTTTTCTACTCTCAAGGGTCTGATGGTGGATACAAGTACAAAAATGGTGTGTTCCAACATAGTATGATAAGGGAGAAAATTTGTAAATATTGGCTACTTTGACGGCTTAGGGAATGGACACATATTACCAGGTTATAATACACCACATGTAAATGAAATTATTTCTATAGTTCTACTAATTGAACTCATTAGAATGTGTTGAGACACATTTATTTATTTATTTGTTCGTTTTTTAAAATATCATTAACCAACGATCAGGTTATTTTGTTCTTAATAAAATATAGATTCTTTTCTCCTCTCTAAATCATCTTATGCCAAAATCAGGCTAACAACTGTTCTTTTCTCCTCACATCTTTATATATCCATGTGTCTCGAAAGCTCACCCCAAAAGTGTAAAGAAAGCTTTTTAAATGAAGGCGGCAGATGAAGGAGTTAGAGACAAAGATCAAATAGGGACATCTTGAAATAAACTTCCAAGAATTTAAAGTTGGCAAATGACATTAAATATCATTCACTGCCATTTTTTCCGCTCAAAAATACCAATTCCACGTTATTGTCTCAAGTCTTTATGAATTAAGTAAACAATGTTTTCAGCATTTTTTCCTTTCCAAAAAAAAAGGAACAATAGATTACGTTGCATTAATTACATTTAATTAAATTAAACACACTACATTAGTTTTCCATCCATCTGTGAACCAATTACCACCCATATGAAAAAAAGTCTGAATGAAGCATTATTTCACTAATAGGTTCTCATGCCTTAGTGATGATTAACTAATGAACCTGCTGGGAATTTTATAAGTTTCTAAATTTCAGAAGGGTTCTTAACATAGCTTATTGGAGTACCAGGATAAGACTACATTTTCAACTGTCACCTACTTTAAAGAATAAAGCATCGGTGTCTTAGTTTCCACGTGGGCCATGAGGTCATATGAGTTGGGCTATCCTGCAACGGGGGAATTGGCCCCATAACTATAGACTGTTTAACTTTTGGTCTCCAGTCATTAAGCAGCAGTAGTAGTGTCCCCACTTTGGTCAATATAACCAAAAATCTCCAAAAATAAAAACCGCACCCCCAGAAGGAAGAGGAGGTCAGTACTGTTTCCAGCTAAGAAATGAATTAACACAGACCCTTTCCTACTGTGTGAGCTTTCCTAACGCATATACAATAAAGCACAATGAATTAAGCATGGACCATAGCTGATTCTCACCATTTATAAATAAAACTACTGTGTGTTGTACTAGGAACATAGTATGTCTAAATAGTTTGCTTATTAGTTGCTTTAATGTTCATTTATTTCTTAAAGATAGTTGAGACCTGAGTACAATTTATTTTGATGATCTGGAAACATGATTTTGATGTTATAGGATTGTTCAGTGATATTTAGATTTTTGTCTTTTAACTAACCAATTTATTACTTTTAACTTGCAATTCTGAAACAATGCTTTTTATAACTTAATCATTTGTCATAACAACAATCCACTGAGAGTATTAAGTGGTTAAAAGTAAACTTTTAATCATTTAATACACCTCAGTATGGATTGCTGTTATGACAAAACTGAGTGTTCTAGTCTTCAAGGTGTGAAGTATGAACAAATATTTCTACATCTGTTAGTTAAGGTAGTTTTCTGGTGGGTAGAGCAAAACATTGGCATGCCATTAACCTGAAACAAGTTTCAAATAATTGAAGACCTTTGCATTGAAAATGAAGCAAAATTGCTCTTTAAGTCAAAGAGCACCTTAAACTGCATTACGCATTTGAATTTACATATTATACTGAGGCATTTGCCGTTTGCTAACAATGAACTATATACAAGTGTACACAAAACACTACCCAAATTATGTCTTCTGATCATGGAGCCACATAGAAAAGCCTTAAAGAGGTAAATGAGCTATTCAAGCCTACCACAGGTTGAAAATAGTAATATTTCTCCCTATCATAAGCAGCTCGATTTACCAAGGACATAGCTTATGGGATCGGAAAAGCCGTACAACAGACACTAAATTTAAAGAAAAGTCATACTTAAGGATTACCTTTTGGGCATATTCATCACATGTCGGTCCCACTGGAACCACCATCACCTGGCGAGGAGACAGCCAGAAGGGCCTTTAGAAAAAATTGAAAATATTTAATGTGCATTTTCCTTCACATGGATGGTACATTTACAAGTCTACTGTTCAGTGTCTTTCCTGAAACATGTGGGGGACACACTTTAAAAAACATGGCTTTTTCTTAATATTCAATAAAGACTAACGGGAGATACAGGAGCAGAAAACTAACCCTAAATAAGAGAAACCTGTAAGTTTTTTCTTGCTAAGCAGATGGCAAAGCAAACTGGGGGCAGGGGCGAAGCCTCACATTCAACACCTCAGGTAACAGAACGCCATACACTGGCTGCCAGAGGGGTTAACAAGCTGGAAAGGAGCCACACTTACTGATTCCAGTTATTCTACTCAAAAAGGTCTTTTGCTCAAGAATTATTTTATTATTTGTTCTTCATGTTTATTCAACATGCCTTCAGTTTATTCAAGATCCAATTGGCAGGATTCAGCAAATTGTAACTGATAATAACTGGTGAAGATATTTGGTAAAAATGAGTGTGTTTTCACTACTTATTCAAAGATGAACCATCGGGAGCCGGCCGAGTGGCTCAGTTGGTTAAGAGCTTGCTCAAGAGTTTGAGCTCTGAGCAACAGCGGTTCGAGTTCCGGCCCGAGCTGAGCAGCCACTGAGCTGCCAACAGGTGGCAGGATGGCTCAGCTAAAAAAAAAAAAAATGACCCATCGGTAGTTCTCCCTTTGGGGTATTTCGGGCGTCAAGCCCTCCTGATGCTGCAGATATCAGGCCAGTGTTTCTACTGATCACTCCTCTATTTTAAGTTGTTTTGTTATATCAGGGAAAAGGCTGGAGTGGAATTAAATTCTACCCAAATTGTGGGCCTTCCCCACCTACCACAGGTTTGACAGAGCAATTAGCTGAGGAATGCCCTAATTTCTAGATGTCACGTAGAAAATGTTTCCCATATGTGATTTGTTTGAAATGTAACTAAAAAGAGATTAACTTATTTCACTGACAAGTATGACAAACTCCCCTTAATGTCTGAACTAATCAAATTACAAATAAAAGTGAAATGAATGCAATGTATAAGACTAAACAGATTTACAACATTTTACAGAAGTTTCGCATCAATACAATTAATATGGCAGGTTCTACCAAATGGGTGCTTTATAACCTTGTGCTGTTTTCAACTGCCTTTACAAATTATGGGCAAAGACAAAACTGCTTAAAAAATAAAATGGAAGTCATATGCTCATATCTCCCCAGCAAAAACATAACCTTATAGAAACAAGACACAAAATGTTCCTCTGTTTGGAATCTGTACTTTCAATCAAAAAAATGCTTGGCTTCTAAAGGGTGTCAAAACACTTGCTTATTATGGTCAGAAATACTGAACAAGATAAGCCAAAGCCTACCATCTTGTTTATTCACAAAAACATCAAAGCCATATAAATCCCCAAACAAAGTGACTTGAAAAGCAATCAAAGAAATATGCTTCTTACTGAATAATTCCTAATTAGAAAGTATTATCTAACATTCAACAAATCAAATTCTGAAATAAAAATACTCATAACAAATAATCTTAGAGCTAAAAAATTTGGGTTTAGATTTTAGCAAACACTCATCATTAATTAGAAGTGACTGATTGGAATCATTCTCCCTTTCCATCACATAACTAAACTGGACAGTAGACATTTCTTATAGCCAGTTTACATCGTCCAGAAAAACACAGGAGGAAACAATGACAAGAATTACCATTTGCCCCCGTAGTTTTCGGTGAGGATAGCAATCATTCTTTCCACTGACCCCAGAATGGCTCTATGTATAATCACTGGCCTCTTCTTATCATCACCATCATGGCTAGAAAGAAAAAAAAAATTTGTTTTCCTTTCTCATATCTATTCCTTTGTATGTCCTTGAAGATTATTCAGCGCAGACACTACAAACTCACCTTACGAAAGTAAGATTGAATCTGATGGGCAGCTGAAAGTCCAGCTGGATTGTTGCACATTGGTGGTACCGACCAATAGCATCTTTAATCTGTATGTCAATCTAAGCAGCAAAGATTGGGTTATTATAAAATGTTGTCTATATTAAAGCTGAACTCAACAGGTGGAGTGGAGCTCATTTTCCCTTTTTTAAACTTATTTTAAAGTAAGTAATCTCTTATTCTCCCAAAAAAAGAAAGTCACATTACTCAAATTTACCCTGGTACTGACCTTTGGGCCATAGAAAGCTCCATCTCCAGGGTTCAATTCCCACTTTTCACCAAATTCATTCAGACTGTTTTCAAGTTGCTAAAGATAAAGCAAAAATGATTTTAATTTTTGTTCATCTGCAACTTCTACCAGTCTAATTTGGGATAAAAATACCGTGACTACTGTCATGGGTCATTATTGTCTGCCTTATCATTTTTTCCACCTAAACCTACTAATACGCAAACGCCTTTTAAAAGGTTACAGCTTGATGACTGAAAACACATCTAACCATTTCTAACACAAAATCATACAGAAAAATACTAGCGTACTCAAACTGAGGAACCATTTCCAATTTTCTTTTGCTTTTATCCATTTAAAGAGGCTTGGCTTTCTTACACTGTGAAGGAAGCCAATTTCAGCCAAACAGAATTCAAGCCTGCTAAAAAACATCACTTACTTTCTCAGCTTGATTCCAGACTTCAATATCTCCAAGGAATTTTTCTGGGCGAGTAGACAGGTTCAGTTTAAAAGAAAATCCAAATATGCTATACACTGTACGCAGAAAATCCAAACAACCTTTTATTTCACTTTCAATCTTTAAAAAAAAAAAAAAAAGGCACAGTGGTTACTTCCTGAGACTTCCTTGATACTTCTTTCAAAGTACTTCATCCCCCGGCATCTCATACCTGCTCCATGGCACAGAATATGTGAGCGTCGTCCTGTTGGAATCTTCGTACCCGTGTCAGTCCTGTCAGTGCGCCTGACAGCTCATTCCTGTGCAGGACCCCAAAATCGGCTACCCTCAGGGGCAACTCTCGCCAGGATCTTGGCCGATGATCAAACATAAGGCTGAAGCAAAGAGAAAAGTAAAACCCACTGATATTTAATACGAGAATGAAACTTCTTCTCTAATATTATATGAAAGGCTGTCAAAAAGCCACTGATTCCAGTTGTTCATACAAGCAACATAAATTCTGAGCTTCATACAATGTAAGCATTGGCATGAACAAAACAGCAAATAAATTATAATACAACCATCCATAATTGAGAGAGAATAAAAAAATGATTCCCATAAGTCTGGAGTCAAATCCTTGTGCTTACTATTTCTGTTAATTTGAGAAGTGCTTTTAAGGATCATATTTCAAAAAAACACAAACTTAGCTACATACGGATCATGTGTAACGCTGGAAGCTAAGGGCTGTGCTTTCTTGTCCCTCTCAAGTGCTCCAGTTCCCTGTGAGTCTGAAGGTGATTCAGACAGAGAACCTGGGAAACTAAAAATGAACTCAGCTGGTTCCCTGACCTACAGCCCCGCCCCCTCATGGCGCTTCCTCCTCCCACCTCCTCTGCCCTCCAGGCCTTGCTAGGAGCAGACACTGAGCTCCCTGCAGCCACAGCTCTCTCTAGTCTCCCCCAAGCTGTTCTTCATCCAGCTGTTAAAGAAGGATAGAAAGTGGAGCAGCCTCAAGGCAAAGACTTCCCAAGGCTGTTAATTCATCAGCAGTAGGGTTTTTTTTAGCTGAGCCATCCTGCTACCTGTTGGCAGCTCAGCTTTTGGGACTCGAACTGCTGTTGCTCTAGAGCTCAAACTCTTGAGCGAGCTCTTAACCAACTGAGCCACTCAGCCGGCCCAGCAGTAGGTTTTGATAGAACATGTTTCTTTAAAAAAATCTAGAGAATTTGCTACACCCCATTCAGTCTTCCTGTTTTATATTCTGCCTGTTCACTGCTATTACCCCGGTGTCATTTTTGAATGTCTATAGATCTCAGGGCCAAATCAGGCACAGCAGAAATTTTAATGCCACAGTGATGTTGCATTTAAATACTCTTCTGATTCCATAGTTTTTGTTTTTAACAAAAATTCTTCCAAAGGAAAGCAAGCAAGCTAGGACTAATTGCAGCACGGGGAAATCTTCAATGGAAACTCAAAGCTGCCAAATACCAGTGTCCTGGGCAGTTCATGGGTTTCAGAGCAAACAGCTCCTTCTCCACCTCAAAGGAGAACATGTTCTCGCTGTAGTGCTGCCAGTGGCCGGAGGTCACCCACAGTCGGCTGTTGTAGATGTTTGGGGTGACCACCTCCTGGAATCCTCGTTTCCTGTATTCACTCTGTTAGAAAACAAACAGAACGCATACTCAAGGAAAGAAATGCTCATATTTCTGGTGAGAATAAAAATGGAAAGAACGATTCTATACCCTCTAGTGAAGTTCAAGATACACAAGTTATAATTTAGAAATTCCACTTGGAGGTATATACCCAAGGGGAAACTTGCACACGTACAGAAGGAGGCTGCCCAATGACGCTACTGCAGCACAGTTAGTAACATGGGAAAAATGTAAATATGTGTTATATTAGGTGGTGGTACACAGACGTTGGTGATATTCTCTAGAAACGTATGCTTTAAATATTTCATAATTTACAAAGAAAAAAAAGCAATGTCAAAACTAACTTGCTTTTCCAGGAAAATACAAACGAATGGTCACAGCGCATAGAGCTCCTGAATAAAGGGTCACAAGTCCCACTTCAAGATCATGGGCTCTTATCTTGTATATGTATATGCCCATGTATATGGGCCAAATCATGCATTAGCAAGAAAGAAGTTTTAAACATCTTATGAGACCTCAGCCTTCCATTTCTTATTTATTCTTTTAAGTATTTCTTCTCAATACAAGATTATCTTTCCTTTTAGCAGACCTTATTTAATAAAATCCATTTATGTCCTAAATATACAGAAGAAAATAATGAGTATGGTTTACCCTGATGAATTCAATAAGTGCATTATAAATGTACGCTCCCTTCGGCAGGAAAAAGCAACTTCCAGGGCTGAGTTCATGGAAGAAATAGAGTTCTTGGTCCTAGGTAAAAGAAAAGCAAAGAATGCTTATATACATATGTAATGTCAACAAACTTCAGTGTTCTTCAATTCAGCATATGGTCGTGATAGCTCATATTTTAATTTGTGCCATTCCCAAGTCAAAGGAAACATGTCAACATGCTTGGTGTGCAATTTAATGGTACAGAATTGCAGCTGTTGTTACAACTTAGTTCCCTGCCTGTTACATGCCTGAATCCAGTCAAGTTTACCCAAGAGTGACATGGAGCACGGGTCTTAGTTCTCTTCTATCCACAGCTCTCAGTTTAAATCTCTAAGATCTGGTTGTTTTTAATTTGTCTTATTTTTTTTTAGAGTAGGAGTGACAGGAAGGAGATTGGGAAAAAGACCTGATAATAAACTAGAAAACGGAGATGGAACGGGTGACTTTGGGTCATGGAGAATGAAGCACAGCCTCCGACTTCCTTGCCTACCCACAATGCTCAGGCTTTTCAAGGAGGTGTCCACCAGTCACCGCTGGTTTCCTTACTGCTGGAATTTATTTCAGGCCATCAAGTGAGCATAGCAGTGATGCTGCCTCCTGCTCAAGCTTCGTAACCTAAAAGCCAAGGTTGCCTGGCACAGAGCGAACACAATTTCAGAAAGAACTGTTTTCAACTAAAACCGAACTCCCAGTGTAGAAAACACTCAGGGGTTGAGGGACAAAGGAAATGACACCATAACATACAACGGTGACTCGTTGCATCACCTTGAGCAACAAGTAGATTAATCTTTCTGGGACCCAGGTTCCACATTTTTAAAATAAGTCAGTGAGACCAGGCAATGTCCAAAGTATCTCCCAGCTCTATGAAATACTGCCATACTTATTTTATAGAAAATTATAGGTCATCAGCATTGGTTCTCAATAAAAGTAGCTAAAATCAATTTTTGTGTAGTACTGAGCACACTCTAGAAAGATAATGTGGACAATCAGTAAGTAATTTATGGCTTATACAGGACACAGTACAATACTTGAAAGCTATAGTATTTCTTCAAAAGGCAATTCCTAGTACTTAATACAGCTAAATTTCAAGTGAAAATAAAGAAAAAAGTCTAGACACATCACTGTTCTTTTTTAACATACCCTGCCAATTTTCCTATGATCTCGGTTTTTAGCTTCCTCTTGGAACTTCTCCCACTCTTTCAACATTTTAGGATCTGGGAATGATATTCCGTAAACTCTCTGGAGGGTCTCCATATCTGCTTTGCCTTCCCAGTATGTGGAGGAATTCTGAAAACAAGGATTAACCATGAAACAGTATTTAAATTTGTAAATATCTCATTTTAAGAGGTAAGTGTTACTTCTCATAGTCACCTTATGAATCAAATTCAGCCGTCTTCATGTAAGAAAACGGCACGAAAATGCACACTTAGTAACGTCTCACAGTTGCCCCAAGGCCAAGCTGTGACAGTTGTGCTTACTCTGCAGCCCACAGCTGGCTGCGTAATTCCCTCAAAAGAGCCCGCCCCTCAACACCCACTCAGGCCACAGCTCCAAGAACATGACTTACAGCAAGGGCATCTCTCACAAAATAATTAAGCCAAAATGGAAAAAAAAAAAATCCTGAAATCACTCCATTATTCTTATGATTTCAAATGTATTTTAATAATCACCTGTGAAATATTTGTAAACTGTCAATAGTATAAAACTGGCAGGATTAGCTCGGTTAACAGGATCAACTTGGGTAATTTTACCTTAGACATACAAAGGGCAAAAGCACATACTCCTGAGTGAGTCTCAAAGCTTTTAGAGCCATGATGGCTCTTAACTGTGACTTTGTGACTCCCCCAAACCTCCGTCCCTGTGGGCTCTGGTGATGAATGGCTAATCAACCACTGCCTGAGAAAATTTCAGCTAAAGAAGCCTAAGCACATATAGCACCCAGTCAGGGGACAGCATGAGAAAAAAATCCACCCTTACATATGCAAAAGGAAAGTGGTAGAAAGAGAAACCAATACAAGTTTAAACATGTATCTATACTGGACAAATACATTTATATAGAGAGAGTCTTTAAAGTTACACTGCTTACTTTGTGTATTTTCAAAGTCTTAATTTTGCCAGTATGTCTGACATGAGGACCCCGGCAGAGATCTATCAAGGGGCCACACCTAAAGTAAAAATGAAAGGAACTTTAATAAAGACATGAAATGACATATACACCAACTGTATTGAATGACATTTGATATTCTCACCTATAGACTGTGGTAGTTGGAGTATTCACTTTTTCATTCAATATCCGGCATTTGAACTTGTTGTACTGCAAACAAGAAAAACTATGTTTTTAAAATCCTCCTTTTAATTTTTACCTCTAAATACGATAGCTAAAATATAACTCAAAGTACGTCTTATCAAAGCATTGTATGAATATAAATATGTCAATATTTCACGTTCTGAAAATATCATTAAATTTTTCTAAAGAACAGGACAGGCTTCAACTTATACAGTAAACCCCAGAGACAACTTCAAATAACATTAATGAGTGATATACAGTGGATACCACATTGCAGTTCAATTTACCTTAAACATTTCCAACAAAGTTTCCTTCTTAACTTCCAATCTTTCAAAAGCTTGTTTTTCTTTAATGATTTTCTTACATAAAGTCTCTAAAGAAGAGAAATCATTGCTGGACACACCCCTGAAGAAGAAAGTTTAATTAATCTCCAGCCATTCCATTCTACTCACACCACAGGTGGGAGAAACAGTTCTTTAGAACACTTCAAGGTTTTAATATAAAAAATTAGACCCTTGCATCATATATTAGAGTTGTAACCTAGCCGTTTTTCATAAATTGTTTTTATAATTTATATTTTCAGTGGCTTCTACCTCAGTCATCATGGAGATTGTTCCCCCTGGTGAGTCCTCCCTCCAACTCTATAACCAGGTTTAGAGGAGACGAGCACCCCGCTTCATTTTATTTCCCAATATGCCTCAGGGTTCCACCTCCACCGATTTGGAACAAAGCATCACTAAAGTCTACAACTTTACAAGTCACTACAACAAATCAAGTTTTGGTAGTGGGACTACTTGGTGACTAGGAAGCAATAAGCTTTATATTATTCCTCGTTTATTGAGACCTCTTTAAAAAATAACAGAGACCCACAGTAATTCAGAGTTTATTTTTCTTTATCCGGTTACATAACTTACCCGTCTTCAAGGTACATGTCATAATAGAATCCGCTTTCTATCGGTGGACCATAACATAAACAGCCACCATAGACTCTTTCCATGGCTTCACCCATTATGTGAGCACTTGAGTGCCAATATACCTGAAAATTCAAAAAATGAGAACGTTTGAGACTGGGCATACAAGCTGTAAGTTAATATAGTCGTCTGAAAGAGATATATAAATTTATTATCAATAAACCCAAGACATAAAAATCTAAATTTACAAGTCTACAAAGTGCAGTGTGATTCTGTTCAGAGCCAAAATAATTTAAAAGGCTGCTAATTACTAGACTGTATTTATACCTTAGAAATTATCTAGTTTGTTTTCAAATGAATTAAATTCAAATTAGCATCATTCATTAAATGGGATGGATTTTGTTCCTGGAAAAATGGCCACCAGCAACGTGACTATCTCCTTGACGGCAATGGCCCAGGGCCTTCTGAGCCGAGTGCCCGCCCCGTGCGTTATGCTCTGCCTCTACTTGGCTATGGGCATCACTTAAGATTCTATCTGCTGTTTTCTTATTGGCCCCAAACAATTAAGGTGGTACAACTTGACCCTACAACACAATTAAAATACAAAAGACAAACATATGGACACTGAAATCAAATGGCACTACTTGGTTTTAAGGTGCTCACTCCGATGAGTTGGAATAAATCCAAAGCAATGTTTTTAAGATTTAATGGTAAGGTACCCAAATGATTTTTTAAATTATCTTAAAAAATTTAAGGAATCTAGAATACATTTGAAAACCATTGATTCACATACATAAGTAAGCCACCATCAATGAAACAAAATAAAACGTATTTTATTTCCCTTCATATAGTATACCATCTTGAAGGAGAAAACCTTGCTATCAAATGCAGGTTGATTTTTATAGTGCTTCCAGCTGATCTGCATTTTAAGATGAGAAAATTTTGGAAATCAACTGTCCAATACAGGGAGTATGTTAAGTAATGTTCAGATTTATTTAAGTATATACGTCTTGCTTAAGTGGTGACTGACACTGTAGAAAACAAGTTTTACTTGTTTAATCAACTTTTACTAAAATTTTAATAGAATTCACAGACCATTTTCTCCATTTTAATATCTAGTAGTGAAAATAAATTTATTCAACTTCACCTCTTAATTTTATAAGGCAAGCACTTTTATTATGTTCTCCAAATAAAAGACAAAATGAAGGTTTCAAATATGACAATGAGACATCAGTAAACTTCAGGCACGCAATGGCAGTAGTAACGAGATGGAAAACGCTGCAAATGAAAATCTTCATCCTGAAATTCAATGAATACCGAATAAAAACTTACTGCTTGAGCCTCCTCATCCTCAAACTTGAGAAGCTCCAAGGTACAGTCTTCTTCCAGAGGCCGGTCCAGGTCCCAAACAACTTTATTCACTTTAGCGATAACGGTGTTGTCAGCCAGGCCTTGACTTAAAAAATATACACGTATTTGTGAAACACAAGAATCTGAAAAATCATCTTTTGTAGCATAACACTTAATTTGAGAATGAGAATAGGAAAATAAACACTATATATTATATATTAACACAATATATTATATATAGATATATGTGTGTATATATGTGTGTGTGTGTATATATATATATAATCTTTCTGAAATAAAATGGAAAAAGTGACAAACCCTCAAAATGTACCTAAGAATATAACTAGAACATCCTGAAAATTCAGTACACTATTTTATGACATTTAATGCTTATTTACGCAGATATGGCAACTCTGATAAACAAACAATAACCATTTCAGTGATTCATTTCACTGACTAATTTTAAAATAACTTCTCCACGAAGCCAAGCTACTTAGACTCTAATGGACAAAAAAGGTGGGGGAGGAGGAGGCTATAAAGTAGCTTCTCCGCTCTTCTGCCTGTTATTTTTTTTTTTTGAGAGGCAATGCTAACCTCAAAATAAACTACTCAAATGCCTAAAATGGTATTATTTATAACAAATATATAGGTAAAACAAAAGGCTACTCAACAAAACTTTTAATAATATGGTAAAAATGTCTAGACACAGTACACAGTAAACACAAACTGTCATGAAGGGATGAGATGTCAGACCACAGCGAGTATGAGAAAATGCCACAGGAGTTCTGAGAAGGGCAAAGGAGCATAGGTCAGGGTAGTCTGGACAGGCTCCGAAGATAAACAAGGGGCTGGAGGATCAAAAGGTTTGGACAGGAAGAAAAGGAAATGAGATGGCACTCCAGATGAGGGGATGGACAGGGATGCAAGTTAAGGAAGGTTCAGGAAGCTTCGTGGCTACAGCAGATTTGAGTAAGATTAGTCAGATTGTAGGCCTGAATGTGCAGTTAGAGAAATCACAGTCTATAACAGTCTTGACAACTCAACGAAAAGCAGGCAACACTCTCCACTCTGAAGGAAAAGCGTAAAGCCTTTACACTTGGTCTTTAATTATACCACGGGGAGGCGTAAGCTAGCTCTGCTACGGTTGCTGTGCTGGGTGGTTCTCTCCTTGCTCTACTGGAGGGTTTACATCCAAGGTTATACAAACTCCCCACTTAAGAAAATAGGAACAAACAGAAGGTAAAGAATAAATTTCTAACCCACTTTCAATGTTCCCATTGAATTTCCCATAGATTATATACAAGGTTTACTTTCCTCTTGAGATCAAATGGAGCCAATAAAATGAATAAAATACACACATTTCATAAAACATACATGGATTTGGCAGAAAGAAATGTATTTTATCATGGGTGTAAAACAGTTTACAGAAGACTAAAGAACTGATCAAAAGGGCAACTACTATCCCCTATATTCTTTGGGGAAAAAATGACTTTTATCTTATGGTTCAAAATGGTGCCCTGGGGTGCTAACAATAGAGTTACTTTGACAATGGAGATTACACATGGCCCATACTGGATCATTTCAATTTTCCAAAGGAGGGATAAAATAATCCATACTTTAACAAAACTGCAAAGAAAACCGTCTGAAGCAAATGAAGCATGCCTTCTTTTTCTCTTCCCTTTCACATTCACATTCACAACAATATGAAATCATCTGAACCTTTAAACAGTCTGGTATTCATGCTGTAAGTTTTCACAGAATAAGAAGTTATTCTGGACTTTTGTAAAAATGTCATAAAGCGCCCTCACTTGCAGATCAGTGACTTAAGTTCAGCTCTAAAGCGCATCAATGTCTTATGTAATTCAATTTAGAATCTTGTGGTTCTCGAAAAATTATTTTCAATTGACCACTTGATAAATTATAATGTAATGTGGAAGACAATATTATGGGATGTAGAGAAAAAGTTCCTGGACTAAAAGGAGCCTGAATTTTAATCCCAACACAGCTACAATATCAGTGTGCAACAATGGAGGGATCTCTTAATCAAATGACCTTCAAAATTACCTCTAAAATGACAGATTGAACTCCAATTTCAAGGTCTACACAGTTATGTATGCTCTCACTTGAAAACCTGGTTGATATTACAACTTACTTTCTTATTTCCTTTGGAGTAAGATAGAAGTAGTGGTGAAATTAACTAAAATACCCCATATTGTCTTTGTAAGAAGTACTAACCAGTGTCCCTGGCACACTGAAGACTCATGGCTTATCGACCTCACTGCTTCTACTTCCACCAGCTGCATAATGGGAGGACCAATAATCAGCTGGGTTGGTTCTCAAATCTGTTTATTTACTTGTGATTGTATGTCTTAGGTTCAACAACATGAAATTGATGATAATCAACCATTTTTGACAATCATATGGTGATTTCACGTGACTCAACATATAATTAAACAGTACAAATAAATAGAAATAGAAATAAATAATAATATAAGGATATTATGGTTTCTATGAAAACCAAGTTAAATGTTTGGGAAGACTTGATAAAGGCAAAGCAATAAAAAAAAAATTGTTAAGTTAGGTGTGGATGAACTAACTACTAAAAGTCTGAAAGGATTCTACACTCAGATTGCCTTTCAAGTATGTTCAGAAAGCATAAAACTAATCAGCACTTGACTCCAAAAAGCCTTGTCTATATACATACATGCATATATATCTATATATATATACACATATATAATTAGTGCAAAATATATATTTACACGTTTGACATTAAAATGTTTAAGACAGAGGTGGGCAAATTTTTTCTGTAAAGGGCCATATAAATATTTTAGACTGCAGGCCATACATGGTCTCTGTTGCATATGCTTCTTACTGTCTTTTTTTTTTTTCCAAGTCATTTAAGAACCATTCTTGGCTTTTGGGCTGTACAAAAACAAGCTATGACCACAGTTTGCTAACACCTGGTACAAGACGCATGCATCAATTTATGCTTATCCAGCTTTATCATTTCCTGATAAACTAACCAACTATTGATCCCAACATCATATCAGATTAAGAAAGCATTTACTCGGGCTGGCCGAGTGGCGCGATGGTTAAGAACTCACTTGGGATGCCAGAGGGCCCCGGTTCGGATCCCACATATGAGGGCCAGTGACACTGCCCTCTACAGCTAAGATGCTGAACAACAGCTCAACCTGGAGCTGGGCTGCCATGAGTCGCCGGCGACGGCGTAGGCTGCAGTCCCTGTGGCAGTGGGTTGCCATGGGCTACCGTATGTAGCCAGCAGCCAGCGTGAGCGGCCAGCAGCCGCAGTGAGCGGCCGTCCAGAAGCCGGCGACTGATCTGCCTCGCCCGGGAAGAGCGCAATGATGGTGCCAACTTGGGCCAGTGAAGCAACATCCTCCACAACTAGATTGAAAAACAAAACGACAGCAACTAGTCTGTTCCCCTTCTCCCAATTCCCCCAGCAATGTTCCCATCCCCCCAATTCCCCAATTAAAAAAAAAAAAAAAAAAAAAGAAAGCATTTACTCTATTACAAAGCATGCATCTAATTCTAACTTATTTCTAACCCAATAAAAGTGTTAAGTTGTAAGATTAGACGGGGCCCTTCTTTGGATTTATAAATATTATATTTTTTCAGTTTCATAACTTTCCCATGTGAGATGACTGACCTTCATTTAACTTTAAAACTGAGACATTTAAGACAAAATAGGTAAAACACTGTCTATTTGGTTTTGTGACATTTATGATCAAAGTATAACTAGTGATATAAAATCTTTCATAAGGTAAGACCAAAGTGCAATCTCTCAGAAGTTAACTTTGAATCTTGACTATAAAGCTCCACATCATTTTGAGTTTTTAAGAATCCTAAATAATGTCAATTAAACATTAAAAACATTGAACAGTAACTTAAAAATATTATGAGCATAAAACTTGGCAAGATAATTTTTAAAAAGTTTAATTACAGACAAAAGAAGGTCAAGACAGGTGTAGCTTATACCTAATTCCACAGGCAACTTGATATGGTGTAGTTTTCCAGGATTCTGCGTCAACCTGTTGACCATCGGGCAGGGTGACTTTAATTGGCTTGCTATCTTTTTCTGCCTTTTCTGCCAGAATGGAATCATTTTCTGCTTTTAGTTTATTATACATTTCAAGACGTGAGTTAATATATTCAGGCCAAGGATTCAACTGCAAGACAACAAATGAGGAATAATCAGTCAATACTTGATTTTTTAGAAAATGGAAAGAAATAATAAAGAAAATACAAATACCATGATTATTAATTCAATGTGGTAAATGGATGGCCAAAATCACTAAGTATTACCTTAATGTGCCAAATGAAGGTTAAAAAAAAGGAATTAAATGCTCTTTTATAATAATTTTTGCTTTAAGAAATTTTTAAAAATGGAATATAAGTAACAATACATATCTGGACTGCCAACAATCTAAATGGACATTACCATTTTGTTTTATTTGCATAGGTGATTTTTTTTTTCTTTTAAGATGTTCTCTTAAGGACTTTTCTAACTAAATGATCTTAAACTATAAACAATACTGAAAATAAAAGCCAGCTGGCTTTTCCATTTTGTTTCAGTCTTATTCAAGGGATGGTCTGAAAGCTGGTCAGACTATATGTCCACTTACATTTTTTAACTAACTCTCAATTTATGTGACTTAAGGACTCCCATTCAAGGAAAGTATTTACCGAATTCAAAGAAACCATGATCACCATCTTTCTTGGGAGTACTTAATTAGCAAATATAAGAAAACATTACACTACTGTCTATCGTGCTTAATTAAATTAACCAAAAATATTTTATATAAAACACCCACTCAGGTTCCCAAAAGTTTGACCAAGAAAGAAAAAAAGGCAATAATCAGAGATTTGACTTCCTCTATTGTTAGAGACCAGTCTTTAAAATATTTCAAAAAGCAGGCGGTGAATCTGTGGTAATAAAATAGTCAAACCACTAACATCTACATAATTTATGATCGTCAAATAAAAATAACATGGATATTAACAGTTACATATAAAAGTGAAGAGGGGATGCCTTAATTTTACCATGAGTTTCTATCTTCACATAGATTTAATTCAGTCATCTATAATAGCTTATTCAAATCTATACTTTAATACTTACTCAGTTTTGACAATGCTATCCAAAATTCTAAATATAATATATATCAACATAACACAATCTGACAGGAGTACAAGCTAGTATCTAATCCTTGAGAAAATGACTTGTAATAGACAATAAGTCAACCACGCTATGTGGACTCATTGATCACCCAGCTTGGGTTCTGTGGTTTCTAGGGGTCAGTTACAAACTTTGGCAACCTCAGAGGTTAACATTTCCCTAAACATCATAGTGAAAAAGAAAAAAATAACCACATCATTAAAAACATATGTTTTCGCACTGTTCAAACAGAACTTATTAGAATAGGTTTATCTTTAGTGTAGTACTTTTTTCCCCACTTATACAGAATTTCCTTCCCATTTCAATCATAATTTTTCTCAGCCTTCATCTTTTGAAATGAAAGAGCCCTAATCTCTGTAACTCCCTCCTACAGCAGTCCTTCTCTTTCTCTAGTCATTCAAGCTTTTCATTCAATTATCACAGGGGTCCAGAAACCTCGAGGGTGAAGCTCCAATGAATGAACTAAAAGCTCAGAGCCTATCATTCTACAACCATCCCCTGAACCCCTCAGGCTGAAGCACACTATCTGGTCCTACCTACTTGGAAGCATTGGTAGAGTCCTACCCACCCGCAGGGACACTCTGTGTCTTACGGCAGTTTATCTCCACATCCACTTGGCACTCCCTAATCAGAAGAACTCAGCATCAAACTTCATTTATTCCACATTCATGGAGCAGATACTCTGTCCCGGGCCCTGGGAACGCAGAGAATAAGACCTCTGCCCTTAGAAGGGGAACAAGACAAGTACATAAATGATGGGAGCACAGAGGAGGAAATGTCTTGGACATCTCACTGTACACATTTTTTCAGACAGATCCTTTAATACGTATATAATCACATGTCACACTTATAATTCTCTATTCAGAAAAGTCCTCTAATTGTACCCTTTGTTTCCTATTTCCAGGCTAATCCTCAAGCTGTGACAGAACAGTTTGTACTATTATATTGAAAATATTAACAAGAAATGAGGGAACATATGCATTTTTCTATTGACTTGCAAATTTAAAAATTCACGATCAACAATTTCCCCCACGATTACAGTGGGACATAAGGGACAAAACATAAGAGAAATGATTAGGCAGGGCTCTGAGCAACACTTGGCGGTTCTCGATCACCTACACTTACCCTTAGGAAAACGGAAGCACTATCAATTTAGCAACATAGCTTTTATAAAAACAGCTCTTTAAAAGCCAGTTTATTGTGCTGTAGTATACTTCTTAAAAGCTATTCCTGTGTTCTTCCTCATGCTGGTAGTTTTCTCAAGGGTTGCTAATAAAACAGTTGCAATGACTAAAACAAAAAGAGAAGCAGTTCACAGCAGTTCAAAAATAAAGTAGGAAGACCAGCTTAACTGCCTCCTAAAGCAGGACGCCCAGGAACCAGGCTGAGCCTGGGCTGACTTTCGAAAAGCCAGTTCCTTTTAGCGTGAGCACAGGGAGTGAAAGCATTTTCTCTACGCTTGAGAAGCCTCAAGGAGCTCTGTCTTGGCTTAAAACCAAAGCCTAGTGGCAGGTCCAGGTGAAAACAGTGTGAATTGGCCCAGGAAGTGGGCTTTCTTTTGTTTCTGTTGTATTCAGGATCGCTCCAACACCACGTCTCTCCCCCGTAACATCTCATGAATGAAATGATAGGACAGCTCGCATCCAGTCTGGAACTGAGCGATTCCCACCGTCCCCTTCTCCCCAGCTTGTGTTCTCTGACTTCCATACCTAATCTCACAGGTTTTCTTACAATCGCACTGCAGTTGTTTTTCCTCTTTCAATAACAAATAATTGCAAGTCTTCGTTTGCCTCTCGGACTCCTCCTGATCCTTCTCTCTGATTTTCCATCTTGTGCCATTGTACAACTCCACGTAAACCACTAAAATCTCGCACAGGACAAATCTGAGACTGCTAGCTCCCTACCACTTGTCCATCATTGACAGCAGGGCCCTGAAACACTTACCTCTGCTCGACCTCCATCCCCAGACCCTTCTTTGTTCTTCTTCTTGCCTCCTTCCTTTCGCTTCTCCTCGCTGGCACCTACCTAAAGAGGCAAAAAAGGAATGAAGGCTTTATATTTTAATCTAATTTGACACCCCTCCACGCTGCCCTCAGAAAATATTTGAGGATGTTATTTTAGCATCTATTATTTAAAAAGTGAAAATCTGATATTAAAAGACTAGAAAATTTGATCATTGTCAAAGACAAGTTAACAACTTACGATAAAGATAAGTCCTAAAAAAGTAGAGGAGCTACTTGATAATGTTCAAGTCCTCACATTTCATTTATTTTGCCTGTTCCCATGACTCTTGATTCAGATTTACGTGGACATATACTAAACATGGAGCCACAAAGAGGCATACCATTTACTCAGTAACGGTCTTTTAGAAAAACAAAACAAAAACAGTGCAATATATATCCATTCATTCCACAAGTACTACCAAGATCTTGGTGTTTTGTTAAACTCTGCAGAGGAAACAAACATAGACCCAATCCCTACCACGTGCAAACTTAATCTCTCCAGGGAAACTAAGGCACACGTGAGTGAAAAACTCCTGGAGGAGAAAAGAACACAGTTGCAGCACTATTATTAGATGTCAAAGAAGCTGGGACAATAGTAAGTGTTTGGGCTTTCAAGGATGAAGATTTCAACAGGTTGGATTTCGAGAATGGAGGAAATGTGTTCTAGGTGTATACATAAACTTACTGTGGAAAACGTTAGAGAGAGAGAAAGAGAAAGAGAAAGAGAGAGAGAGAGAGAGAGAGAGAGAGAGAGAGAGAGAGAATGAATATGAATACCGGGCTGACTAAAGCAGGACTGTTTTAGGAAATAATATAAGTTAAGACAGACGGGGGGG